CTGCAATGTTGATTGTCCTACTTATAATTTATTTAACAGATACTAATGTGACATTTTCGTTCTTGCAGAGGCTGAGTTCAAAAATCAACTATGAAGCTTTGGATAAATTAAATGAAGAGCTTGTAAGCATCTTTTATATGTCTTATTTTAGAATCAATTTTGCTTTTTTCTTTTGCTTTGCAAATCCCATATTATGTTCTGTCAACATCCAAGGTCTCGTTAACTGATGCACAGACTACAAGCGACTAAAAGCCAATCAAATCTAATGGCACATTTAATTTCGATTGTCAAATGATGTTACTTTTTCAATATATTTTTTGTTTTCTTAATGTCTGGTTAGTGGGCAGATGCCAAATTCCTGTTTAATGGAATAAAGGTATATACAGGTGTCACAAACCCTGGCAAGATAGAACTTAATACGTAAAAGAATGATCAATTGTGCAGGTTGTTTACTTATTGGCAATTAATGGGAGACTTTAAAAAATAGAAAAATCTTTCGTCTTTTTATATGGTTAATAGTTTTTTTTGCTATGCAATGTAGTTCCTACCTAGATAGAAATCCAGGTAGGTTTTAGAGAATAGAGGTGTCTTTCTGCCAGTAATTGCTAGAACCTTTTCTAATTTTTTTCCCCATGTGTAAAATCAGGGTTATGCACCTGCATTCGAAGAAGGCACAAAGCCTAATTGTGGCAATCCAGGTGATATGCAACTGTCAAATGAGAAGAACAATTTTGAAGGCAGTCATGATGATGATTTTGAGCATGAAAGTAATGGATACAGTGAAGAGGCTGAAGCCAGACAAGGCCATGATGATGATACATATGTTGCAAATGACCAATATAATGGATGCAACTATGATGACGAATACAATTATGATGAGGAATACAATTTTGACGAATTATGACTCAAATAAAAAATGATTCAGTTGTATCATGTTGCGATCAAAAGGTTAAGCAATTAAATCTTCTGGTTTTTGATAACTTTTTTTATTGGTATCAGTCTGAGGAGAGATGCAATTGAGCGTTGCTTGCATGTCAAACTATGTGAACTATAACCATGAGCACAAATTTGTAAATTGAAACATTGAATGGTTGGTTCCAAGCCGTTCACACTTTATTTAGTGTAGAGAGAAGCACCAGTTTGACAACAATATTTCCCCGCCATTGACAACACCAAAAGACTTCTCAATATTATATACAAGTCTGATGAAAATTTGATAATTGATTTGTATCTCAAACTGTGAATTTATATAATTCAATTAAATTTATTCACTGTTGAAAAATCTTTACATAGGAACACAGACTGAATTGTCTTGGTTCCAACTTCCAAGCTGTTCAGATTTTGGTAGCGAGAGCAAGGTACTTGGTATGACGGCCTTGAGCTATAATTTTACATGTCTTCTTCTTCCTTAACTCAACACTGGCAATACCAACAGCCTTTCCAAACTCGTAAACCCTTGGCCTCAATCTCAACTTCCTCACCATGGTAAGCATAGGCTGCACCATGCATGAAATTGCCTCCTTTCAGCAAACGAGGGGGTACTTTGAAGGAGCAAACAATACGATCGGGTTCAAGGAGATCAACTTTAATGCTTTTCATGATAAAGGACTCAAAGAACTTGTCTGGCAGCCCATCCATTGTCATTGCCATTTCACCTTATTCTCCAAGAACACTTCACTGACTTTTACTTGTATCCTCATTTCTCCAGAAGCCTTAGCCATCAGAGAAACAACAGATAAAGAGTCACATTCAACATCAAGGGTCCTAATACCCTTAGCCCAAGCCATTTGCAAACCTCTAAGGAGACTCCATAACTTAACCTCTGAAGGAAACATGGATTTAAATTTAAACTCATGGATTTTAAGCTACAACATGCATGAATCTAACATTCAAAGAGACAGAAATGAATTTTAGATCTTAATAAGCCTAATGCTACCAAATTTCAAGTAACTTTCCAGGTCTAATCTCACTTATGCACAAAAGAAATGGGAGGAAAGGATGAGACTTTCTTATCCTTGAAGCTCTCTTAGATGGTCTCCAAGTTTTCACCTTTGGAAAGACATTCTTCCTTGTTGCTTGCTTCATAGAGTCTTCACAAGGTACCAAAGTAGATACCCTCTAGTTTATACACACACAGTAGTGTAAGAGATGAAGAAGATAACCAAAAGGAGGTGAGGTGCTAGCCCTCTCCTCTTGGTGGCCCGGTTCTAGCATGGTAGAGTGGAGATTTCTCTCCTCTCAAACCCACTCCAAAGTTGGATTCTTCAAACCCTCCTAGATAGAAAATGGTCTAAGTGTGGCTTATATAAGCCAATACAAAAGATGAAGCAAAACCCCATCCTTGTATTTCAGCCATAGTGTTTCCTGGGCTCCTCTTGGGCTCATTTAATTTATGTTGTCATACAACACATGTTTCTAAGTCCAATGGGCCCTCTGACTATTTCACCATTTGGCCCAACAAGCATTTAAAGCACAACTAATTCCAACAGTCAAACTAAATTCATAATTAACAAATTAATTATGATTTGTGACTTAATCATTAAGTCCTAACCATAGTCCGAATAGTTTGACTTGGTCAACTATTTTGGTCAAACACATTGACTTTGACTTTGACCGTTGATTTTCAACGTCTTATCTTCTTCAGTTGTTACTCTTATTACATTTATTGGTGGATGATCTCTTAGGTTCAAATTAGCAAGGTAGTGGGAAGGGCTGATTCATCCAAACCCAGTGTGAATTAAATTTAATTCTCTCTATTAAAGGCTAATTATATTTAGATCTTACAGGGCTTCCACCAAACATGAGTGATACATAATAGTATGTCATGGCCACCCAAGCGAAGTAGAAAAGGTGAAGAACCTATTCAAGTTGCATCGCTGTGTAATCAAGTCCTTCTATATTGTAGTGCTCATAATTCATATTATGGGGGCATGTATACTTTTGTCAAAACCCTAATATGAATTCTCCACTTATATAATTACATAGGTTATGTTTAAAAAGTTCTTTTCTAATTATATCTGATACTTTGTAAAGATTTCTCAATCATATCTTTGGAGCATTCTCTCTCCTTACTGAGAACAGAAATCACTTGTTGTACATTTGTTTCTGCAAAAATCCTCGCAGGAGAATATTCGCTTTGTGATTCTTCAACCTTTGATCTTCCTTCTCTCTCTTCCTTGATTCCTGTTAAAAAATACTATAGTAAATAGACCACACCTGGGGGGTGTTGGCCAAAGGCCCTCCGATGTCTAAGTTAGTTCGAGTGTTTGTGGGAAAACAAGCTAACAAAAGGGTATGGAAATATATGTATGGGGTGAACTGGGTGGCTGGAGCCTTGTGATATGGAGAGTGGAGAGGAAGAGAGAGTTTCGGGTATTTTTCTAGGGTTTAGTAGTAGGTTTTTTTGAAGTACCTTGAATGATGAATGAAGTCATCTATTTATAGGAGGCTTAAGGTTAGGGTTTCGTAAAGAATAAACTCTTATTTGGAAGAGTTTATTCTTTACCCAAATTCGTAAAGGTTGAGTTAGACTTGATTACATCTCTTGATAAGATAATATATGAATTAATGATATTATCTTTATTCCAAAAGCAGTCATAAATGTGTTTTTTTAAGTAAAAGGTGAGCTAATATTAAACAAAAAACAATCACAGGCCAAGAGACGAAGGGATCGTCGGCTAATATTTTTTGGAGTAGGATTAGCTTATAAAATTTGCACTAAGTTTAGTATTTTTAGTATTTTCACACTATGCTAGAGTCCAGCCTAGTATGTACATGGATCGGTCCTTGTTTAAGGGACAAAATGAGACTCAAATACATTTTCAGGGGTTATATATAAATAAATAAATAAAAAGCTAAATATTAATACAGAGAGAGAAAATGGAATGGGAAAGTCAATAAAAAATTAATTACAATATATCATTATATAAAAAAATATAAAAAAAAAATTAGTTTGTTTAATATTAGTCATTCATTGTACTCTAATCTAATGGTTGAAAACTTATGTTCAAATAAAAGAAGGATAATTATCTGGTAAAAGAATAATTTTGTTTAAAATAATCGATTCTATGATGACGTTAGTCATAGTAGGGCTCAGTGTCCACATCATCAAACTGCTCGGCAATCACCTTTGACAATTTGACATTTTGTCGTCTAACGTATCCAATATGGCCCTGTTTCTTCATTGCCGAATAGAAGACAGTTGGAAAAGTGGCAACCATCTGATCATATGCCACTTGGAAAGAATAAAAAAAATCTATGCAAGACTTGCGAAGTCAACGTAGTCTTGAGGCTGAGGTTGTCATGTCAATATATAGTTTACCATTATTTATAGTAATGGAATCTTTCTCAATGACCCAAAAAATCCCTGAGGTGAAAATTCTACCATGCGCCAGGAGCATGGATGTGCCCTAATTTCAGCCATTAGATCAGTTTGAATCTATGGCTCTTAACAAACACTGAAATTGAATCCCACCAACTTATACAACCAGTGAAGGAAGAAAGAGAAAAAACAAACCAAAAAAGCTGGCAGCCAACATATATATTTATATTTTATTTATTTATTTATATATATATTATTTATTTCTCTTTTGAGTTGATTTAATGTATACGAATAGTAGGCTAGTTTTTTATTATTTATTAATTTCTCTTTTGGGTTGATGCTTATGTAATTAACTGAAAAAACAAATATAAATTAAAAGAAAATTACAATAAACAGAAAATTTTAAATCAAACTCTAAATTAAACTGCTCAGTAATAATAAGAATATTCAATGTGGATGTCACTTGTCAAAGCATTTAGCCCACTGCAGGTGGGAAATTAGAAAAGTGGCAGCCATCTGATCATGCGACTTGGAAAGGAAAAAAGAAGTAATAATATGTACAAAACCAGCGCTTGTGTACAATAACATGATCGATTCGAGGAGGATGTTGAAGCAACCATGGCATCTTTCAGTGTCCGTTGCCTTCTTTTCCAGCCTATGCTTCTGGTTTCAGGTGTCCATGGCACAAAAGACCGATCCATCTGAAGGTAAACTAGCCATGCTTTCAAAAGTTGTACATATTTCTAAGCATCTTTTAAATACAGAGTACATATATGTTGTTTTTTTCTTCCTCCTTGTGATTTCTGGACAGTCTAGTAACATAAGTATTTTATGTGATGTGTACACAACGATTGAATTGAGAGTGCAGTGAGGGCGTTGAACTCAATATTCGAGCAATGGGACACGCAAGCCGTGCCGGGGCTGTGGAATATCAGTGGAGATCCATGCAGTGGATCTGCCGTTAATGGAACTCCCTTTGAGGATCCAGCTAATAATCCATCCATCAAATGTGATTGTACTTATGAAAAAAATACTACCTGCCACATCACCCTACTGTATGTTACCCTCCTCTCTCTCTCTCTCTCTCTCTCTCTCTCTCTCCATACTCTTTAGTCTTGTGTTGTTGACTGTAGCAACTCCATTAATTATGTGTTAGAAAACTAAGCAGATCATGCCTGATATATCAATTGTAATATTAAGTGCCTAACTGCTCAATCTTTTTCTTTCCAGGAGAGTTTTTGAACTGAACAAACGAGGGGTGTTTCCAGAAGAATTTGTGGCTTTAAGATATCTGACCTTTTTGTATGAAGTTTTTCCAACCCCTTCTCTGTTGTTTGGTTTATCACAGTTTACATTTTCATATAGAAGACACAGGTTTCTAACAGTTCAAAATTGTCACAAATATTTTTTATACTTGGAGATTAATCGCTGGTCATTTCATTTTGTTTCAATTCTTGTAGGAAAATTGATCAGAATTATTTCACCGGTCCCCTACCAGCATTCATCGGCAATATGTCTGCGTTGACGATATTGTAAGTAGTGAGAGAGCATTTATTTAAGTTTTGGTAGAAATTTTTTATCTGTCAAATACTTTGATGAGTCTTATTCCCTTGTACAATTTCTATAATTGACTCTGGTTCTATTTTCCTTTATCTGTTTTGTAAGCTTAATTTAAGGAACTACTTACTAATTATATATAAGTTGGAATTGTATTTCTTACAAATCAATCAATTTTGTTGGTTTATTTCTTCTTCGAGGACATGAAACACATAGTACTATAAACAGGTGCTAATATCTTTAATTGATATATTTCCAATCAGGTCAGTTGCCATCAATTCATTCTCTGGACCCATCCCAAAGGAGCTTGGAAACCTTAAGGAGCTAACTATCCTGTAAGCAATGAAACATGACCAAACACAATTAAATTTTGTGTTTTACACAAATGAGAAATACTGTATTGAATTGAAACATGTTAGATATAGAGTCCCCTATCATTTCTGATTATTGCTTTTATTTAATTTTATACCTTTTCAACATGACTTGTGCAGGTCCTTTGAATTTAATAATTTCTCTGGAACACTCCCTCCAGAACTTGGTAATTTAGTCAAGCTCGAGAAATTGTGAGTGCTTCATTGAACTCATCGAATATGAATCACGTGTTGCAATGTGTTTTTAATTTTTCACTAAGTAACAGTTTGTTCGTCATTATCAATGAGCAAGGAATGCATTTATCCTATGAAATTGGTAGTAATCAGTTTATGATTTTCGCAGGTACATGGAAAGCTGTGGACTCAGTGGTGAAATTCCTTCAACATTTGCTAAGCTCATCAACATGCAAATCCTGTAAGAATGGCCCTTAAGTGGTGTTTTAAGTTTTTTGTTTATTCAGTACTTTGAGATTGCTATTCTGGGATGAGCTTACTATGAGTCAACTTTTTGAATTTTAGCTATGCATCAGACATTCCTTTGTCAGGAAAGATACCTGCTTTCATTGGGAATTGGACAAAACTAACTGTTTTGTAAGTATGGAAAACTTTTAACCTTCTGCAGTTTATGAAAGCAGACCTGCATGGCTGAGAGATGGGTCTCTTATTCACAAGCATCTCAAATGTCTTTGTAGGAGATTTCAAGGGAACTCTTTTGAAGGCCCAATACCAACCAGTTTTTCTCAACTGACTTCATTGAAAACTCTGTAAGGGCAAATGCTTCATACCTCTCTCTCTCTCTCTCTCTCTCTCTCTCTCTCTCTACACTAGCATCACTTATGTTTGTGTATGATAATGCAGGCGAATCAGTGATATATCTAATGTGAGCTCCTCTCTTGATTTTATAAGAAATTTGAAGAACTTGACTGAGTTGTAAGTTAACATTCTCATCCCTTCAAATATCGTGATATAACTTCTTTTTTCCTTTTAAAATTTGCAATCTTACTCATTTACTTGTGCACTAAATTTTTTGGTGGTGGAACAGAGTTCTACGGAATGCATTAATCAATGGTAGCATTCCTTCTGATATTGGAGAATATCAAAATTTAACAATAATGTACGTTCCAGCGGATATATAAGTTCAAATCCCAAAAATCTCAATTAATTTTCTTTCATTCTAATTTCTTTCTAACCTTATCATTCATGTTGTAGAAATCTGGGTTTCAACAATTTAACAGGCCAACTCCCAAGTTCTTTGTTCAACATGAGTTCTCTTCAATATTTGTAATAAGGCCTGCCTTCATTATTCCCTTTTTCTGTATTTACTCCATTGAATTTCCTTCTCAGAAACTTAGTCGTTCATCTGACCTTTTTCTTGTTTTTTTTTTCTGGGTGCCTCCTACAATTGATATGGCCAGATTTCTAGGAAACAATAGTCTGTCTGGACCTCTTCCAAGCCAAAAGAGCAATCTACTACAGACTATGTAAGTCCTCATGTCATAAAAGTATGCGATATGTACTGGCAATCAAACCAGTACTCTGTGTGTGTGCGCGCATTCTAGCAGTCTTTTTCTAACTTCAATTCCTTTGAACTTTCATGCATTTTTGCGCCTTCTCATTCTGTATTAATTGTTATGTGCAGAGATTTGTCTTACAACTATTTGTCAGGAAGCTTTCCCGCATGGGTAACCACAATATTGCGACTGTATGTCTCCTTTTCGTCGTTCACCTTCATTTTTATGGTCCAAATCACCTTTATTGTGAATATATAATACCGCATGAATGAAATTCAATAATTTAGAAGGGATGGATTTGAAGTACTGATGTGTTTAGATCTTGAACATGAAATTTTCTTCTTCATATGTTGATTGATTAATGATTTTATGCAGTAACTTAGTGGTCAACAACTTCACATTTGACACTTCAAACATAACGTGAGTTGAATCGAAATACCCTTTTTTTAGACGGATAGTTCAAACATAAAGTGATTGCTATTACACTTTTGCAGTTGAATGGATTCTTCCACTACAGTTTAATTATTATAAATAATAATTGTTCTCTGTGTTTACAGTCTTCCTGGATTGAATTGCCTCCAGAGGAATTTTCCATGCAATCGAAATACCCCAAGATGTAATCTTCTTCTATATTTCACTAGCATTCATTTCTTTAATGCAAGATCATGTTATAGCAATAGGCATTGCTTATCTCATTATGTATACATATTGTAGGAATGTCTTGATAAATCTAGTAAGCATAGCTTGTGCTGTTACATTGAATTGTACAGATACAAACTTCTCAATCAAGTGTGGAGGACGACAAATTACAGTAAGTGGCGGGATATTGTATGAGGCTGAAGACTCAGCTATTGGGCCAGCAACATTTAATGTAGCCAGTACAGAGAAATGGGCTGTTAGCAATGTGGGTTTGTTTAATGATATGATGGAACAATATGATAGAATGGTTCAATCATTTGTGAAAACCACCCCTACGCAAGTCTCCGGTACAGATGTGACCCCAAAGCTTTTCGAGACTTCAAGACAGTCCCCAGGTTCACTGAGATACTATGGCCTGGGTCTTCAGAATGGACCTTATACTGTAACATTGCAATTTGCAGAAACGGTTTTTGTTAGCCGCACTACACAAACTTGGCAAAGTCTAGGAAGGCGTGTATTTGATATCTATATTCAAGTAAGGCTGCTAATAAACTATTTGAAGGCAACCTCATTAGACAGAATTATTTAACTATCTCTTCATTCGCTTCCTAGGGGAACCTCAGAAGGAAGGACTTCGACATATCGAAGGAGGCAGGTGGGGTTAACATAGCGGTTGCAAGACCCTTCAAGGTTAATGTGACAGAGAATTACCTAGATATTCATCTGTTCTGGGCTGGTAAGGGAACATGTTGCATACCTGACCTAGGTAATTACGGCCCGCTAATATCGGCTGTCCACGCTGCTTCAGGTATACAATATAATGTCAAGTTATGAAGATTTCCTGTGAATGGTTTAAATGTATTTATCTGCTGTCAATTGATTGACACTGAAAAATTATTCTGTTTCATTGCTCAGATACACCAACTACTCCAGGAAAGAAGAGCAGGATTGGGTTCATAGTTGGTATTGCAGTCCCTGTCGGAGTAGTGATCTTGCTATTATTAGTTGCAGTTTTATATATGCGGAGAAAAACATCAGAAAAAGATGACGATGAAGGTAAAAGAGCAATGAGCATATTATTAAGGGTTAATTCTGAATGGGGTTCTAGGTTCTTTCTACTGTTGATAAGCATATTTGAGAGAAAATAATTCTGATGTGTTGTTTCGAAATTTAAACGTATGTCATACTTTCTTTTGAATATGCAGATCTTCTAGGATTAGGCCCCCAACCAAATACTTTCAGTTATGCTGAGTTGAGAGCTGCAACAGAAGATTTTAATCCTTCAAATAAGCTAGGAGAGGGAGGATATGGACCTGTTTATAAGGTGAAATCTATTTTACATCAATATCTGCTACTTAAAATTAATGACTTTGACTTCTTACAAAAAGAAATTGAGAGAGAAGCAAAATAGATTCTTTGTACTTCCTTTTCATGTCATTGAATTGTATTTCTGTTTATAGGGTACACTATCTGATGGGAGGGTAGTGGCTGTGAAGCAACTTTCAGTAGCATCTCACCAAGGGAAGAGTCAATTTGTAACCGAGATTGCTACAGTATCTGCAGTCCAACATCGCAATCTGGTGAAATTGTATGGATTCTGCATCGAAGGAACCCAGCGCATTTTGGTTTACGAGTATCTTGAAAACAAGAGCCTTGATCAGGCACTTTTTGGTAGGTTTTATAGAAACAGAATACTCTGCAGTTTCAAGGACTCTAAAAGTTCATCCAAGTTTTTTACGCAACCATTTTGTTATAACTTTTCTCTATTCGAATCATATGAAATTAAAAACTTGCACATTCTTTTGCTACTTTGCCTTCTATTTTGCATAAAAACAGAATACTCTGCAGTTTAAAGTACTCTAGGTTACATCCAATTTCTTTTTATTTTTCTCTTCTACTCGTTATTAGTGGTTAACATGCACTGGTTCTTCTCCATGTAATGTTTCAGGAAGAAATGACTTACACCTTGACTGGCCTACCCGCTTCAATATATTGTTGGGAACAGCAAGAGGACTTGCTTACCTTCATGAGGAGTCAAGGCCCAGGATCGTACATCGAGATGTCAAAGCCAGTAATATTTTACTCGATGCAAAACTCTCCCCAAAAATATCAGATTTTGGATTGGCAAAGCTTTATGATGACGAAAAAACCCACATTAGCACCCGGGTTGCAGGGACAATGTAAGCCTCCGTTTAAGTTATACATTGTTAATCGTAACAAGGGTGTAATCCAAGCAACATTTTTAGTAACCATTTCATGATCTTGTAGAGGTTATTTGGCGCCGGAGTATGCAATGCGTGGACATCTGACAGAAAAGGCTGATGTTTTCGGTTTTGGGGTTGTTGCTTTGGAGATCATCAGCGGGAGACCAAATTCTGACAACAACTTGGATCCTGAGAAGATTTATCTTCTTGAATGGGTAGGGAAACTTAGCCTAGCTACTTTTATTTTAGCATTGCTGTGAAAACTTCTCTATTTTTTTCCTCTTTGACCATGCCATGATGTTTGTTTTCAGGCATGGACTCTACATGAAGATGACCAGAGTTTGGGGCTGGTGGATCCGAGATTGACAGAGTTTGATGAAAATGACGCAACTAGATTGATAAAAGCAGCTCTCCTCTGCACTCAGGCTTCACCAATGATGAGGCCATCGATGTCACGTGTGTTGGCAATGCTTTCTGGAGATATTGAAGCAAGCATTGTTATGTCAAAGCCAAGTTATTTGACAGATTGGGATTTCAAAGATGTAACCACCACAAGTAGCTTCTTGTTGGATGATGATACCTCATCAACTGAGAGCATTGTTGTCCACAAGTAGCATTAGATGAACTGATGCTTGGATGCTTGGATGAAATGCTTAAAGGCTTTTATAATACAAAAATCCAACGTCAACTTACGTAGAGCAGTGGAATCTCTGACCAAAAAATAACCTAAACCAGTGAAATGGGGCTGCTACTTTTGGGTTAGAGTTCCAACTTTCAATGCCATATTTTTCTTTTTATATTGTGGAGTTCCACGCGCTCATCCAGAGTCTCTGTTCAACGGGTGGGCTGTTATTTCCAACCCCTTCTCTTATTTTCTCACCAACTTTAATTTTCCATTCACCATATAAATTTGAAAAAATACAATCCTGTCATTCCACAAACCATTATTCCTAAACTACCCTTCAACATGGACACACTCATTGTGCCGTGTGTATTGACAAACTAAATAATAATAAATAAACAATATTAAAAAAATCAGTCTCCATATTTTTCTCTCTCCTCCGCCCTTTCTTCGAAATATTCAGACAAAAGGTTTGGGAGATTAAAGAGAAAACTATCTTTCTCTCGGAATTTCTCAGCCTACCCAACCCATAACCAGTTTTTTTTCCCTTTTCTGCTTGGAAAAATAAACCATTTTCCTTGAAACATGATCGACTTACAAACTGTTGCAGAGACATTTTAGAGAGAGAGAGAGAGAGAGGGAGAAACTGGAATCGGGAAAAGAAAAACAATTAAAAGGTATCAAATTATAATCTCGTAACACATTTTCGGTGGGTTAAGGAATTTCGGGAACTTACCAATCCCCAAACCCATTTTTGGTCAAGATTCCAAATCACTATACCCACTCATTTTGAATCCAAAATTTGACGAACGAAACAGTAGTTGTTTCAAGCGAAAATCGCATCACCACCAAACACGGGCTGTTGGGGAGGAGAGAGAGAGAGAGAGAGAGAGAGAGATAGAGAGAGAGAGATATATATATATATATATATATATATAGAACATAGAACAGAGA